CTGCGGCGGCTGGCGGGCGGGGCACGGCGCGTCGCTCCCGCTGGGTGCAGGACTGCCTACCAGACCACCCCAACCCAACCCGAAGATCCGAACTTCGGGTTTGGGGGGGTTATGGGCTCCATGTGTGTTGTGTCGATGTTCCCAGACCCCCCCACACTGGAAATGGAGGGCAGATTGACGCCTTCGGGTTGGGTTGGGGTGGTCTGGTGGGTGGTGAGTGCAGGAGGGAGAGGAGGCTCTTGGCTCGAGGATCGAGGGTCGAAAATCGGGACTCTGGGCGCCTGCTGGCCCTCTTGGGCCTTCCCGAACACTCTTGTCGCCACGGCTGGATGTCGCTAAAATTCTTGTCAGGGCGTACGGGAGTCGATTTGTGACCCCCGAACAGGCATTCGCCATGAAGCAAAACAGTCCTGGATCAAGAGGGTCCTGGAGGTCATCCCCGCTTTCGGACCTCCTGGGGCCCTCGACGGGCAGCGGGACTGTCGAAAACAGCTCGGGAGGATGAGCGGGTCCCAGTGGAGGCCCTGGGATCCAGGATCCGTTTCCCTCAAGTGGATCAGCCAGCATCGAATCGGGGAATCGGATCGAAGCGGAATGTGCGTCGGATCGGGCTTCACAAGCGCAGAATCGAAACCGGGTCGGATCGGCGAGGCGCTTGCACCTTCCCACCTTCGGGCAAGTGTGGCCCCTTAGGTTCTAGCCGACTGCGCAGTCGTTGTCAATAGACCTTGCGCTAATCCGCGAACCCCAAGATACCCAGGGAGAGGTGCCCCAGGCCATGGACACTCTTGGCGCATGGAGGTGCTGGGCCTTCTGGGGGACAGTTTAGGTTTCCGTGGGCGGTCGCGGAGCCGCGCGAGATCGACGTGCGACGCGTCAGAAGACTCCGAGAGTTTCCCAGACTGCGCAAGTGACGTGACTGCCACGGTGGTCGAGGAGGACTTCAGAGGCTCCAGGCCGCCAGGCCGTCGCCGCCGCCGCCGCCCCCGCGGGCGCCGCCGCCGAAGCCGCCCAAGCCGCCGAAGCCGCCGTCGCGATGATCGTCGTGGTGGTCGTAGTGGTCGTGGTGGTGGCGGAGGTGGTCGTCGTCTGTGGACGTGATGGGACGATCGCACGTTATGTGTCGTATTTTGTTTTTAAAAGGCTTCCGTGGGCCTCCAGACTCTGGAGAGCTGTGGGGCCTCCAGGGCCTCCAGAGGCCTCCCATTGGACTCACCTGAAACTCCCACAGGCCCCAAAGAGAACTCTAGAGAACAGCCTGGGAGGGCACATAGGGACGCCAAGGGAGCTCCCAGAGCCGCCCTAGAGCCCCAACCTGTTTTTACCAAATTTAACACGGCGCCGCCGTTGACGAGGAGACAGTTTGTGTTAAATGTATGTGAAATTTGGGACTATATTGGGGCCGTCTCGGAACTCTCTTGGGGCGTCTTGGGCGCGTCTACAACCGTCTTGGAAACCTCTTGGGAACCTCTTGTTCCGTCTCGGGGCGGTCTTGGGGGCCTCTTGAAACGTCGTGGAGCGCCGAAGCTCGAACAGTCGAGACCTTCGAGATAAAAAAAAACTCTTGCGGCCATGTGCGGAGCGCTCATCGAATCCTCGTGCGTCGTCTGGGGGCATCTCAGGACGGAAGGTTCTAACTATCGCTTCGGGCTCCTGCGCTCGGGTCCCTCTTGGGGCGTCTTGGGCGCTTCTCGGGCCGTCTTGGGGCCCTCTTGGGCCGTCTTGGGGCCCTCTTGGGGACCTCTGGGGCCGTCTTGGGTCGGTCTTGGGAACCTCTTGGAACGTTGGAAGCTGGAAAAGTCGAGAACCCCCAAAAACATTCGAAACCTATGGAAAATCAATGTGTGTTGCCTCTTGGGGTCCTCTGGGGAGCGTTCGTCGAGTCCCCTTGGGCCGTTTGGGGACATCTCGGGACGGAAGGCTAGGGTTGTCCTTTCGGGTTCCTAATCTCGGGCCCCTCCTGGGGCAGTCTTGGGGCCCTCTTGGGCCATCTTGGGCCACTCTTGGACCGTCCTGGACCCTCTTGGCCCATTTTGGGGCCCTCTTGGGGGCCTCTTGGAACATCTTGGGGCGGTCTTGGGAGCCTCTTCGGACGTCGTGGAGCGTCGAAAGCTGGAAAAGTCGATACTCACAAAAACATTCAAAAACCTCTTGGGATCCTCTTGGGAGCGCTCGTCGAATCCCCTTAGGCCGTCTTGAAGCTATGTGGGGCCGTTCGGAAACCACGTGGGACAGCTGGAAGCCTTTTGTTGTCCCTGTGGCGCCACTTACCTGGGGGGGGCATGCGCACCCATGAGGACCGATGGTTGCTGGGAGAAGGTCCCCGATCCTGCACCACGATACATCAATGTACGTGTGTGGATAAAGATACGTATATACATATATACCACTACCACGAATAACAACAACCATAATAGTAAAAAGCTATATGTCTATTCATATATACATATGTATATATATATACCTATATACGAATACACATAGATGCGCAAACGTACACACGTACATACATATATACATACATATCATACATGTGCGTGCGTGCGTGCGTGCGTGCATGCATGCATGCATGCACACCTATATACACACATACATACATACATACATACATACATACATACATACATACATACATGCATGCATGCATGCATGCATACATACATACATACATACACACATACATACATACATACATACGTGCATACGTACACACACGCATGCATGCATAGATACATACCTGCATGCATGCATACATACATATATGCATGTATACGTACATCCATACGTACGTACACACGTAGACCCACATACAGACATGCATGCATGCACACATACACACAGATCGACACACAGACATGCATACATACACACATACCGACCTATATACATACGGTCATACCGATCTACAAACATGCATACCTGCATACCTGCATACATGCATGCATGCATACATGCATACATGCATACCTACATACATACATACATACATACATACATACATACATACATGCATACATACATACATACATGCATACATACATACATACATACATACATACATACATACATATATGCATGGTACATGCATGCATACATACATGCCTGCATGCACGATTACATGCATCCAAACAACCATAAACACGTACATACATGCATACATGTATAGATGCAGGAATGCAGACACGCACATGTGTATACATGAGCACAGGCATGCATGCATGCATGCATGCATGCGCATATGCATACATACACACATACATACCTACATACAGACAACATACAAGATACATACGTACATGCAGTCAGGCATGCATGCATGCAGACACGCGTGCAAGCATTTATACATACATGCATACACGCATGGTTGCATCCAGACATATGTGCAAATAGACACACCTACATACATGCATGCATACGTACATGCATGCATACATACAAGCATATGTGCAGACAGACATATACATACACATACGTAAATATATGCATGCATATAGGCGTACACCTATAAACGTACATACATGTATGCAGACAGACAGACAGGCAGGCAGACAGCTATACATACCTACAAATGTATACATATATATAGATACATGCATACATATGCATGGATGCAGAGATACGTGCACGCATGCATACATGTATGTATGCATACAGATATGCACAAATGCATACATACATGCATGCATACATACATACATATCTACATAACTATATACAAACATATATACGTACACACGCGAATACGCGCAGATCAACATACATACATGCATACATAGCCACAGGCATATGTATACATATATTCACATGCGTACACACAAAGATGCATATAATCATAATTACAGATCTACCTACCTAGACATACCTATAGACATTCATACTTGCATGCATGCATGCATACAGTCATACACACATGCATATACACACATCTAGACATATATACATACATGCATGCACGCATGCGTGCATGCATGCATGCAGGCAGTCAGTCAGACAGACAAACAGACAAGCAGAAATACAAACCTACATACGACACACAGACATACCTACATACATGCATGCATGTACACTTATATGTGTATACATGTATATCCAAATATATATATATATATATATATATATATACACACACAAACACAAACACAAACACACACACACACACACACACACACACACACACACACACACACGCTACCGTGCCTTCGGCACGTGGCGGAGCCCACTAAAGTGGCGGCAGGTGCGCAGTTCGCAGCCACCCAGAGAGCAGCAAGGTCCCAAATGGATCCGCGTGGCCCCCGACTCCGCTGGACCTCCCCCCAGAAGCCCATGGAAGTGACGACAATTGCGAAATTCGCAACCATCCAGGGAGCAGCGAGGTTCCAAATGGATCCGGCCCCCGACTCCGCTGGACCTCTCAGGAGCCCGCGAAAGTTGCGACAGATGCGCAGTCCCAAGGGGCGAGATCTCGAATGGATCCGCGCTGTCCTCACCTCCGCCGTGTCAACCAGGAGCCCACGAAAATGGTGACAATTGCGAAGTTCGCAGACACCTAGGGAGCAGCGAGGTCCCCAGTGGACCCGCGTGGCCCCCGACTCCGCTGGACCTCCCAGGAGCCCACGAAAATGGCGCCAGGTGCGCAGTGCACAACCACCCAAAATGGATCTGCGTGGCCCCCGACTCTACTGGACCTCCCAGGAGCCCACGAACGTGGCGACAGGTGCGCAGTTCGCGACCACCCAGGGAGCTACGAGAAAGGGAAGCAAGGTGGCAGGAGGCAGGAGGCAGGAGGCAGGAGGAGTCCCGACCGCAGTGTCCTACTCAAAACGAGAACCCAACACAGGAGGGCTGGGACAAATTCGCCGGACCAACGGGCCAAGGGCGTGCAAAGATCTCCGGTTACTGGTTAACAATATTCTAGTTCGCGCGCGCGGGGCCGCCCCTGGGGGTCCCCGGACGAAAAGTACCCCGGGAGACCCCCAGGACACCCACGGGACACTCGGATC